GGACACTTGAGATGTTACTGTTGCATTTACGTATAATAGACCTACCCTTCTTCAATAGAACCAATTCTAATGACCCCGGACCAGCAGACCAGTAACCATAAAAGGACAATACGAGTTCAGTCCTCTCTGTTGAACTCTTCATTTTTTATTAGGAAATATACACAGTGACAACATGTGTCCTCACACAAAGACTTTACACAGGTGTTGTTACTGTTTCTGTATTTTATTGTTGGTTTTAATTGTTCTTTCACGCCTACATCCAATGTCTCACTAAATCCACTCACATTAAAGTCTCCATTAATACATTGCACTAATGATGACCAAAATCTTCTCACTCGTCTAGATTATTGAATTTCTGTCGTCCTAGTTCTACCACTCTGCCATCTTTACCCTCCACAATCCATCAAATTTCTCACAATCTTCCTCACTGTTTCAAGCGTTCTCTGCCAAAAACACCTATTTAAAGAAACCTACTAAACCCAGTTTGTCAGTTATTCGTATTCCTTTGGAAAGTTATCAAAACCCTAATCTGGCTTCTACCTTAGCCATCTCATATCTCCAGCAATTCATCCATCATGATGTAATATTTTTTCCATGAAGTTCCATCACCTTCTGTGTCTACCACCCCACCTCCTTCTAGACTGTAAGCTCGCATGAGTAGGGCTCTCAATCCTTCTGTCACAGTATCTATGTATGAATATATGTTGGATTATATTTCTTGTAAAGTTTCCCATACGTCAACTTGTTTGTAACCCTATTATGTTGTACAGCACTGTGGAAACAACCATTGATTTATAAAAATAAAATAAATTATTTTAATAATTGTAGCTACAAAAGAGACAGATTTTTCCTGAGATTTAAAACTTGCAGAAGATTTGGTTATTTTTTGTACAGTTGTGGACCTCTGTACAAGAGCAAGCTGCGTAACCTGCTTCTTTGTAGTGATTGAGTATACTTCTGTTGCCTTGTGGAAACTCTTACAGGTACACAGACACATGTTTTCTAGGTTACAGTACCATTTTAAGATTGTGGAAATTAGGAACTGCTCAGATTGCACACCACTCAGTACTGTATATGGACCTAGATATAATTAAAGTGCACCTGTAAAGAATAAAAATGCAGTTAATATTTTAGGAGGGACCCTTAGCTGGATCAGCATACAAGACTGCTGTATGAACCTTGTAAGAATCAGGTTCTAGCTTCCCTTGTAGGGTAGAAAAGAATTAGTACATCATAACCACATTATATAGACAATTATATTGCAGTATAAAACTGCATATCAAAAACTTGTTGAAAGCTATGGTGAACACAACCTGTGCAGAAAGGCTTGCAAAAAAAGAATGGATGGTTACATCTTTGGTATCCCATGCAGTGGGCTAAATTCTTCTGGTGGGTGGAGCAGTGCTGGTCTTATCACAGTGATCGCTACTATTGAATTTGCTGGTATACTCTACACTCTACATTTTTACCCTCTGTATCGCATAATACTCTTCAATGGATATAAAGCCACGTAAATATCTAATTTCCTGTTCAGCATGTGCATGAAAAGACACATAATGGAGTTCTGCAAAGGTGAAAAAAATCCCTAATTGATAACCACTAAAAGGGAACGGAATTTTAATTTAATCAGCAGGATCATTTCAGTAGTTCTCAATGTTATTGTTTCATATTTTGCCATTTCCTACAGATTTGAGGTCATAAATATAGCCCCAATTATAAGGGTTTATGAAGTTAATTTTACTGAGAATAAAACACTATAATTTTACAGATCCACAAAAAATTTATAATTTCCAGGACACAAAAATCTTCTTGCCACCCTATTATTGTCATAAATAACTAATAAAACACACCATTTTAAGAGTGACTATAATAGCTCTGCTTTTTTGATAATCTGCCACTAAATTGCTGCAAAGCCAGAATTCAGCATCGGGAATATGACTATAGAGAGAAACTAGTTTAAATATTTTGTTTATGGTAAAAAAATAACCAATGCTAACAATTGAGTTGACATTTACAGCCACTTTTAGAACACATACCTCTTACAAACACAATGTATTTTCTTTCATTTTCTGATTTCAGCCTACGCACTCGAAGCATTAGATAAGCAAAGAATGCACTCTTGACTAATGTGCTTGGACCTTGATAAAACAGTTAAATAGTTTCTAATGATGTAATCAAAATATCTAACTGGCAGTGGTTTGTTTTAGATACAGAACCACCACCCACAGAGGCGTGATCACTGACAAATATATGTTGGGTAGAATTTTTTTTTTTACTTCAATAATTTGGTCAGTATTTTGAATATCGGAGACATAGTCTATGTCTCTTAATTTGTTTCACATGAAGATCTTGACTTGGCCACTGATTAAAGAATTTTGCTTTAGATGTTTTGCCATTGTTTTTTTTAATATGGATTGAATAAAGATAAGCTTCTTTTTTCTATAACTGGCAAGAAGCATGGATGCTTTCGTTTTGTACATTTTTGCAATAAAGTCAAAGGGAGTGCATGTGAGATGGAAATTAGCGAGGTTTCCATATGATTGATGATGTAAAAGTCATGAGTTGACTCATCTTTCAAGTGTGTTCCTTGTGTTCAGGGCTAATATGAAATATATAACTACTGAATTATTTATTTTTTGTAGTTATTCTGTATTCATAGCTCTGTACATTGTTGTCAAAGTCATTTTACCTGAACAATGATAATGACTTTTAGCTGTATGCAATTAAAACTGCTCTGTCAATTTTGAGCTTCTCATAAAGATAGAATCTTTATGAATAGCTCATTTCGATAGTGTTGGAATTAAATTGAATTTCTTAGAAAAATTACATCTTTTGAGTTATTCAAAGTTAAATTTCTTAGAAATGTACATCTTTAGTTGTAGTCATATAAAAAGCTAAGTAATAATTGCTACATTTTTTTTAAAAAGTAGTCTGATGGACTAAGTGTAGCTTTACATCCTTCACAAGATTCTAAGATTAATATCGTTGTGAGGGAATAATATCTTTATCTCATGACATATTTGAAAATGAGAAAAACATCTTAAAATTTTAGATATTTTCATTTCTAATAAGAAAAATGTGCCTTGATGATACATAATAGGACTTTGTGGCAGTATGTAAAAGTGCAACTGACAGCATATAGGATTCTGGAATAAAGTAAATTAAATAGACGAGATTATTTCCGAATAACTGTAATGAGTTAATCCCCTGCCCCCACCTTTCCACCAATTTTTGTTTCTTTATTGACAAGGTTTCTCTTATTTTGCTCAGGACCACCATATTCATGAGAACATAGTAACTATGTAAAGATCTCATTACTGATGTGATGGCAGAAACAAAAATCGATTATATAAAATGTATTTCCCCAGGACTGAAGGGTGTGGATTTTTTTTTTTTAAATCTACTTGTACAAGGGACTTAAGTGTTAGCTCATTCTACTTGTCTGTCATGACAATCTATATATCCTGATTGCGAACAAGGGAGGGATCTACACTCTCATCACTTGAAAACCTCGGTGCACTGTACCTAGGTCTGGCAGACCCCAATTCCATATGGTAAAAACAATGTGGTCCATGCACTCAGGGTCTTTATAAAGCAGCAGACTTAGTGGAAAAACATGGCAAATACAGCAATGTTTCGATTCCCAATGGGATCTTTGTCCTGACAATATAATTTCAATTAAAAATATTTGAGCCCATGTCAAGAGCTCTGGTCTTTGACAGGACTATTTGCTGAACTCTGAATTTTATCACATGACAGGAGGCTTCATATTTTGCATAACTTTCTTTACTTTATGCCTCCAGCAGCACAAGTCAATCAATAAACTTTAAACCAATCAGTAACAGGCATCACCTTCATATATAAAGCCCTGACAGTCACATGACTTCCTCTTTCTTTGCTGCTTACCAGCCAAGGCACAGGTCAGAGTATTTTGCTCCAAACTGTTTTACTGAATATTGCAATTGTCATTAGTTAATCATTTATTGCTTAACTTTCAGTTTGTTCCAAACTGTTTTTATTAATATTGCTATGGTCACTGTAGTTAGACACCTTATGCTAGACATTCAGTTTTAATCCTAACTGTTTTTTCTGGATACCACTTTAATTAAACTTTATTAATTGACTTTCAGTTTGCTCCAACTGTTTTTATTAATATTGCTATGGTCACTTTAGTTAGATTTTTAATGCTAGACATTCAGTTTTTGCTCCAAACTGTTTCTGGATATGCATGGGCACTTTTGTTAAACTTTATTAGCTTGTCCTGCAATTTTGGCCTAAACGTTTTTCATTATTTTGCACTTGCCTTCCATTTGGATTTGTATAGTGTGATATTCTCCCCCTGTTACCCTTCCCCTGAATTAACCCTGTATTTTCTGCTTTATTAGCCTGTTTTCTGTTGCTGGCACCTTTTTCTTTCCTATGCTTTACTCTGGTCTCGCATGGATCGCGGCGTTTTACCGCGAGCACGCTTTTTATTCATTGGTGCTGGGACTTCAGGGCAGGTCTCTGGGGGTTGGGGATGTCGGGGGGACTCTTTTCCATGCCGGCAGACCGCGATCGTATCCTCGATCGTGGGCCGCACGGCACTTTTGCGCGCGAACGGCGGCCATCTTGAATCTCGCGGCACTCGCGAGATTCACGTCGGCCATGTCGTTTGGCCAGTTCGTGATTCCCACGAACTGGCGGCTAGTTCTGTACTGTTTCATATATTTTTCCTGTGAAATAAAAGTTTTACAAGTACTTTTGAGCTCAATACTGTTCATGGGCATGTGGAATAAAGGTTTTATATGTACCTTTCCTGGAAGATTATGAATGGACTGTTCACTGCTGAGCTCTATACTGGCATATTTCATTGGCATGTGAAATAAAAGTTTTATATGTAACTCTGCATGAATATGTAGGACTGATCCCTGCTGTGTGCATCTGCTGACAGTTTGCTCTATTCTGTTCTATACAATTGACATGTTGAATAACAGTTTTATTGTACATCTGGAGGATTATGAATGGACTGTCCCCTGCTGTGGGTATATAGTGGATGCATTACTCTATCTACTGGCAGGGAAATTAAATAGAGCTGATATCTTACTCCGCTCCCTACTCCCACTGGACCTCACAACCATTGGATACACTCCTTCCCCACAGGGATACACCTCCCAGGACACAGTAGTGGAGGCACATAACGGAGTGATTAACAGGGGTGATCCCCCTTACGCTGGGTGACCCCCAAGCGTGGCAGACACCTCTCCAAAGTGACATTGTGGTACAGGTGTGACCCCCCTTACGCTGGGTGACCCCCAAGCGAATCTGGTTCCTGTCCTAGTGACATACATATACTGGGGTGATCCCCCTACTCTGGGTGAACCCCAAGCGAATATTATTCCGGTACTAGTGACATACATATACTGGGGGGAACCCCCACGCCCTAGGGCGGGCTCATTTCCACGGAGTACGATCTGTTACTGTATGCACAGACCGGGTCACACTGAATACATGTATATCGACAGAGCCAGGAAGGAGAGCTCATGGTGCTGCCAATTCTCCACAGTACTATATCCTATAAGGGTGACCCCTTGGATAATTTGGAGGCTACCATACCTCCCCATACACGGGCTACGTCCCGACATTACTGACCGCTCATCCCGGTCTTATTGAGGGTGACCCCCTCCTCAGACCACTCCCAGGAAATCTCTAAGTGGTACTGATTGAAACAATTCTGGGTGACCCCCAGTTGTACGTGGAGGCCCACTAAGTGGCAATAAGTGTACTACCGTACCTGACACCTGTTCGGTACCCCATAGACCGAAAGAGTGTCCCAACATGCCATAAGAGACATTCATACAGGGGTGACCCCCCTATGCTGGGTGAACCCCAAGCGAGTCTTACTCCGGTGCTAGTGGCATAGGTACAAAGGGGTGACCCCCCGCACCCTTTCTAGGGCTTCTACCTTCAGAGTACGCTCTGTCATTGTATGCACAGACCAGGGCGCACTAGATGCATGTATTCTGGCACCTCTATGCTTCAACTGGGGTTCCGTACGCCCTTCCCTTAACCGAGAAGGAGAACTCACAGTGCTGCCAAAACCCCACAATTCTAGACCATATAAGGATGAACCCCGTGGACTATATATATTGAGGCTTTCACGTCTCCCAGACTTGGGCTACGTCCCAACATTGCAGACCGCTCATCCCGGTCTTACTGAGGGTGTCCTCATTCTCAGACCACTCCCCGGATCCTGCGAAAATGATACTGATTGATCAAAATTCTGGGTGACCCCCAGTTATACGCGGAGGCCTACTGAGTGGCAATAAGTGTATTGTTGTACGATCCTGTCTCCCACGGACCGAAAGGGTGTGAACCAACATGTCGGACTTACCTCAATATCCCGACCGATTTTCAGGCGAGGATTAAGGCTGCCATGACAGCTCCGGGGGAAGAAGTCCTCTCCAGTATGCTGGCTAACAACCCATCCGACAGAGCGGGTGCAACGGCAGCAACACCAATGGAAGATTGAGATACCGACGTTAGGTCGGACACCCATCATCAGGGGACGAGGACTTCATCCTCCCCCCCCTTCTCTGGAGATCATGAAAGAATGGAGGGCAGAAGAGGTAAAAGTGACAAGACACGCCTAGCAAGAAAGGTTTTTTCTTTGGCACACTGGACACTCCTGTTTTGACTCACGCACCATCCGACAACCAGGGTCATCCGAATGGGGTTAACTGGAGCACCGGGCCCACTTCTGGCTTAGGAGGCCTATGGGAAAAGAAATCCGAGACCGGCTCAGGATGGAATGCCCACGCCCTCTATGTCCGAACAAGATAGTCCTCACTATGGAGCTCGTGGTGATATGTATGTCCCGATCAGTGTGTAGGAGGAGGACTCAAAATGAGTTAAATACTGGATATGATCAGCCCGGGAAAAAATTCTATACTTTGCGGACCTGACCCCACACAAGACTCACCTCTAGAAGCTCACGATGTGAGGGAATGGGTGCAAAGGGCAATATGTAAGTTGGGGAACGCAAGGCAGACAGGTGCACAGAACGCCGCAAAGCAGCCCGATTAAAGATGGATTTCAAACTATTGAAGTTAGGGACGAAAGAGCGAGGACCTCAGGCAGACGGACTATCGTTTGGAGAACCATTTATCTCAGCAACGGTTTGGTAGTAAGGAAGAAGATAGGAGACTATCACCCAGTCATCAACCTATGCCAACCCAATGGTTTTGGGGCGTACCGACAACTCAAGAAGGAAGGTATCCATCTCTTAGGGGATCTACAAGGTTGGACTTGAAGGGCACTTACCTATAGGTTCACATGGTGCCTCATGAAGTTTCTGAAGTCGGTCACTGCGCACTGAAAAGCAAAGGGTATCTGCTGTCACATACCTAGACGACTTACCTTTTGCAAATCCAATTCATGACTACGTTTACAAACGAGATTTATGTTTACAGTTTCGGGAATTGTTGGGATTCATAGTGAACAGAGAGGAGTTGGTTCGATCCCAGTTCCGAGTGATTCAGTTCCTCTATTTCAGAATAGATTCCACCTTGGGCGGATTACACCTTCCCACATCATTGATAGCGACGATTCGTAAGGAAATTCGACGGGTACGGCGGAAAGGCACCATAACCCTTTGACTATTTCCCAGGACTGCTTCACTACCAGGCCAGACAGTGGCTGAAAGCTCACTGCCTGAGATACGGACACACCTATGAAATTGGGATCAGAATAGCGAAGACTTCGATAGTACTCATTACTGCGGTAAAGGAGGCAAGCGTGACACCCAGAAGGGTTGTCCTTAATCAGGATCATCCTCTGCTCCTTCCGTTTTAACTTGCCTTCGGGCGGATCCAAAAGGAGAACATCATCCATTGAGAATGCAGGAGCATCTGGAGTTGGTAGATTGGTGTCTTCCAGGGGAGACTGGTATGTCAAGGGACTATCGCAACCAACTAGAGACCTACTATGGGACTCATGGACGCCAGGTATTCCCCCGAAATAACTTATCCGCATGGAACACCTTGAGTTCGCTGGTGTATGGGAAGGGACTGCGATCCCTTTATTACCCCTATCTCCACGATGCTGGATCTTTATCATACCTTTTCACTACAGGCCGATCGGAACGTTCCATTAACGGGCTACGTTCCGCGATTTCGACGATGCATAGCACGATTCACGACACTCCGGTCAATCAAGAGCCTTTGATATGCCATTTTCTGTGGGGTATCAAACCGTCCAGAACCATGCGTCAAAGTATCACTGGTGTGGGACTTTGATTTGGTTCTTTTGGAGCTAGTCAGATATCACGGTCCTATCCCTCAGTCAGCCATTAGCCAGAGTCACGTTACTTTTAGGTCTTTTCGTCGGGTATCAGATGTACTGGAGTTCGACGTAGACGGTCTTTTCGGTATCACCGGAAAGAATAATTTCTACAGTGTCTCGTAGAACTATATCTTATCCGTGTCCGTATCGTTCCCTGTTACCGACGGTTTCCCAGCCTTTGTGCAGTTAAAGGGGTACTTTGTTACATGGAGATCACGACAACACTTAGAATGTCACATTCAGGACATCTGCTGGTCTTATACCAACCGTACAAGCCAGTTACCATGAACACTCTGTCTAGATGGGTTCATTGGTTGTTATCGCTAGCGAGGGTGGAGACGTGTTTGGGTACTCATTCGGTAAGAGGCGCAGCTGCTTCTCAGGCCTTCACGAGGGGGCCTCTATATTTTCAGCGACGAATTGGACACGGATAGACTACTTCCGTATATTTATTTTCGTCAACCACACACGCATCCTTCACGCTCATACCACAGCTTTAAAAATGCAAAATATGAAGCCTCCTGTCATGTGATAAAATTGTAGATTATGCTAACGTAGTGTACCTATAATCTTAATTTTAATAATGACAGGAGGCGAGTATTTTCCCTCCCTGTTTCCCTCCCTATACTCTGGAAATTTTTTTTATATTTTGGTTTGTCATTTTCTCAGTGTAAATTATAAGGTTTGGTAATTCAGTATATTTATGGGATGCTTATTTGGTTGATATGTGTTAGATCCGTGTTGATTATTAAGTATACTATGGTTTGTTTAATGTTTCAGTATATTAACTTAATATAAATATAGACACATATAGTACTGGATTTAAAGTGGACAACAGTTGGTTTCCATCACCTTTCACGTATTTCTGTTCTTTTCAGCGTAATCATCATAGATGGATTCGACAAGATAAAGCTGGAAGGTTTCAAGTTATGTTCTACACGTTACTCAGGACTGTTATTTGAATTCCCTGACGTTATAATAGACTGTTTTTCGCATCAAAGAAAGAGGAAGTCATGTGACTGTCAGGGCTTTATATATGAAGGTGATGCCTGTTACTGATTGGTTTAAAGTTTATTGATTGACTTGTGCTGCTGGAGGCATAAAGTAAAGAAAGTTATACAAAATACTCGCCTCCTGTCATTATTAAAATTAAGATTATAGGTACACTACGTTAGCATAATCTACAATTATCACAACGTAAATATGAAAGGAAAAATGGACTCTGCTATAGTCCCAACATGGCTATTTTTGCATCCGTTTTGCCATTTGGATTTATTTCATGTAAATAATTGTTTTGTGATTTACCCTATGTGTTTTACCCTCTGCCATAATCTCCCACTTTTTCATCTGTGTGCATGCTGCATCACATGCATGTGCGGTAAGTGCTGGCTGTGTGTCATGTGTGTCCAGGCTATGTGTGAGTGTGTGCATGCAGAGAGAACTGAATTTGCTTGGTGCAAGTATGCTGGTGAGTCCTGGCTTCATGTGATATGTGTGTGGTGTGTTCTGACTTTATGTGATGTCTGTTTATGGAGTGTGATGGCTGTAAGTGGTATGTGTACAGACAGTATGTGATGTGTGTGGTGTGTGCTGAGTATGTGTGATGTGTGTGTGGTGTGTGATGGCTGTAAGTGGTGTGTGTACTGACTATGTGATGTGTATGGTGTGTGTTGAGTATGTATGATGTGTGTGTGGTGTGTGATGGCTGTAAGTGGTGTGTGTACTGACTGTATGTGATGTGTGTGGTGTGTGCTGAGTATGTATGATGTGTGTGTGGTGTGTGATGGCTGTGAGTGGTGTGTGTACTGACTGTATGTGATGTGTGTGGTGTGTGCTGAGTATGTGTGATGTGTGTGTGGTGTGTGATGGCTGTAAGTGGTGTGTGTACTGACTGTATGTGATGTGTGTGGTGTGTGCTGAGTGTGTGATGTGTGTGTGGTGTGTGATGGCTGTAAGTGGTGTGTGTACTGACTGTATGTGATGTGTGTGGTGTGTGCTGAGTATGTGTGATGTGTGTGTGGTGTGTGATGGCTGTAAGTGGTGTGTGTACTGACTGTATGTGATGTGTATG